TTTATTTCTCAAAAAAACCGGGGTAACAGTTATTCGTCGCCACGCTGTAAAATAAGAATAAAAGAAAATGATTGCTTTGAAAAGAAAATGAAAGAGCAAGATTTAGGTTTGGTTTTTTTGTAGCAAAATTCTAACCAAAGGATGTAAGAAAGGTCAACGAAGACACTAAAAGCCGGTGCGAACAGCTTTCGGCCCACAATCCCAAAACTCGTTTAAACAATATATCTGAACATGGTATAATTGTATAATTTCGAACCGATACCTTTTGTCCGATAACATTTTGTTAGCATTAGTCCATTCTTGACTTAAAACGGCGTTTCCACAACCGAATCACGTTGTTCGCTCTCTCAATTACGAACTGCGAATCATACTGTTAACACAACTCGTTCTTGCTCTTTGCTTTTGTTTATCGTTTAATGTGTTGTTTATTGTGCATTTCAACGGTGAAGAAAAAATGTGTAGTGGTTAAAGCTTGAATCAGCGGTGACATAACCATAACCATATAAAACAGCNCCAAATAGAAAAATAAAAGTGCCAAAAAAGGTGTAATTCCTTTTAATCATTCACATTTAGCAATAAAATAAAGCTACATTTTCCAAACAAAAGTGCAATGATAAAATAAGATAAACCAGTTGAATAGCCTTTATAAATTAGAAAATTTTAGTTGAGAAAAAGAAGTGCACGCAAAGGATTTCACAAAAATGTATTGAAATGTTATTTTTTTTACAAAAGTGCCATTTTGACATTTTGTGCCAAATTTAAAAATAAAGTGCCATTTGAAGTAAAATAGGGACAAATGGCACGGTTTGAGCCAAGTTGGCATCCCTGCTTCCAATAACTTACAAATATAAAAATGTGAAATACCGAGGGCTTGAATTCATTAATACCCTCTATCTTCAATTTGCACAAAAACTAATTTGTGATTTTAGAAACCATCTGGGACTTAATATCTGTCGTTATATAAGGTAGCATTAATATCACTGATGACAGTTAAAGCTTAGTTAGCCGGGGGCCGCGGCGTAGTGTGACGTGGTGTGCGCGCCGGTCGCGCGGGGTACGCGTGGCGCGAGCGCGAGCGCGACGCGCGCGGTGTGCGCGCTGACGCGGGCCACCGCGAAGCTAAGCAAATTTAATGTTTGAAAGAGAAATAATGTCAATTGATTTTATTTCGTTTTTAAAATGGTAATAATGCACCCTGGTGCGAAATAAAGTCAATTGACCTTATTACCGTTGATCTTATTACCTGTCACCCAAGTTGTATGTTATTTTGCTATCTTATTCATCGTTAATATGAAAACTTTCAACAATAAATTATATAAGAACTCGAGGGTTGCTAGAAAAAAGGATGTATTTTTGAAATCAGGGGGTCCTATTCTACGCCCCCTCATCCCCCCTTTTTCTAGAATTTGCCGTCCGTCTACTAAAATTTTGCCTAGCATTCTACTTTTGGTTGAACGGCCTTTCAACTACCCGCTTTCAACAAAGTTGGTCGCCAGCCAACATTTAGCCATTCAACTTTTTTTTCGTGCAACCCTGCGTGAGTTGAAAGCAAAAGTTGAACGCAAAATCGCCGCGTGCGAACACCTTTTTACGGGCCCTGTCACACTTTCAGTATTTATTGACGTGATCCAGGTATCGTGACCAATATCGCAAAATTTCGGTAGTAGTGCACTTTAACGAAACCAGGTCAAAATGGACGGAAAAAGCCAATAATAACAATCCGAGACCGGAAATTCAAATTTTTAATTAATTAAAGAGTTATTTGCAAAAAACACTGGTACTTTCCGCACTATGTTTTGATGAATTTCACGCAAATGAATGGAATAAATGAACTCAATTTAACACGTATTATTAGTTTTTATACATTTGTCATGTTTTAAGTGTACACTTTCGCGAAATTCTGTATTTAATAGCAATATTCCGATGGTGAAAATCCGCACAACAATCTTGTGTAGTTAATATAAATAAGATGAAGGAAAACTGGTGCTGCCACTCTATTAACACAATTTGTATTTCAACTTTAAAAACACTCAAATAATGCACAAGAAATATACTTTTGTGAAAAGGGGATTTCTGTTCCTCTTCTTCGCACGCAGAAAGGAGAATTCTACGCAGTGAGGGTTATAATCCCTAAGCGCGGCCGAAGGCCGCCTACGCAGAAAGGTGTTCTCTGCAAAAGGTGTTCTGCCCCTTTTCTTTGGCAACACAGAAAGGAGAATTCTACGTTGTGAGGGTTATAATCCCTAAGCGCGGGCGAAGGCCGCCTACGCAAAAAGGAGTTGGACGCACAAAAACTTTTTTAATAGAGTGGCAGCAGCAATATACTTCCATTTTATTTTTAATAGACTGGCAACACTAGTTTTCCTCCATGTTATTTATATTAACTACCCAAGATTGTTGTGCGGATTTTCACCATCGGAATATTGCTATTAAATACAGAATTTCGCGAAAGTGTACACTTAAAACATAAGAAATGTACAAAAACTAATGAATATGTGTCAGTTGAGTTCATTTACTTGTCTTAACGCCAATAATAACAATCCGAGACCGAAAATTAACATTTTAAAGAGTTATTTGCAAAAAACACTTGCACTTTCCGCACTATGTTTTGATAAATTTCACGCAAATGAATGGAGTAAATGAACTCAATTTAACACGTATTTATTAGTTTTTATACATTTGTGATGTTTTAAGTGTACACTTTCGCGAAATTCTGAATTTAATAGCAATATTCCGATGGTGAAAATCCGCACAACAATCTTGTGTAGTTAATTGGTCTAATCATTCATTCCGTATCGACATTGATATCGGTACGGAAAGAATTCTCGAGTCAAATGAAATTGTTTGCTGTAGTTTTTTTTTCTTTATGAAATAATTTAAAATGGATACAATCGCTTTGTTTTTAAGTGATAGTGAAGACGAAGATTCCCAACAAGCAAATTAAACTTAAAGAAAGCTTTTTTTTAAAGTTTTGTATTATAAACATTAAGCTTACAAAACGTTGACTTTTTGTTTATAAAACGCTTGAAAGTAAGCGTAATATAATCGAAAAGGAACCTTGGCTATAAGCGTAGAAATATAAACTTATAATAAATACTGAACAGAAAGCTTTTTATAAGCGTAAAAGTGTAAACTTATAATAAAGGTTAAAAAATATATATATTTATAAGCGTATGAATATAAACTTACTAAAAATTTTCAAAATAAAGCTTTTTATAAACGTTTTTATAACCCTTTATTTAAAGATATTTCATTAAAAACTCATACATAGATTGCTTACCATCTAGAAACTTAAAGAAATGCGAATTTTTGGCGGACTCATCTACAGTCGCGAAAATATAAATAGGGAAGAGACATTTTAGCATTCAAGTTCACGATAACATACAAACATTAAGCATAAAAAGGTAATTTTTACATCTTGTTGCGTGCACCAGCTTTTAATTACATGCGGTTATTGGCAAATTGGAAAAACGACATCGATGCAGCTATATATTCCACTTCATCGCCGCTATTCTTATTGATGGACTTTTCTGAAAAAAATTTCATACATTTTTAATTGAATGTTAAAGTAAGCAAGGATAAGGAAGGATTACTAATCATTTNGAAAAACGACATCGATGCAGCTATATATTCCACTTCATCGCCGCTATTCTCATTGATGGACTTTTCTGAAAAAAATTTCATACATTTTTAATTGAATGTTAAAGTAAGCAAGGATAAGGAAGGATTACTAATCATTTTATGTTCAATGTGTTCTTCCGCGGACTTCACTATTAGAATTTATAATTTCTTCACACTGTCTTTTTCACTTTTTAAACGCGACATTTCCTTCTATTTTTACCGCGGTTGTTTTATATTATTTTTTCTTTTAATAATATATTTTAAAGAACGTAAACACTTCACTGACAATTGAAAAATTTTATATTTACTGCTTCATGTCGTTGGCATTTGCATTTAATTTTTAAGTTTAAGTGATTTATAAACATTGGCTCTCAACACTTATTAAAGGTTTATTTCAAAAAACTTTTAATAAACCTTATATTAAAAACGCTTATTTAACGCTTATTATAGCAAACTTACTGTAAGTTTTTTTAAAAAACATTTACTGAAATGCTTGTTGGGTTGTGTAAACGTTCGTCGTGAGCGCAGAAATTTGAGGAATAGTTCAAAAGACGTGTTGCAAATGGATTCTCAAGTCTCAACGTTATGATAGTAAGGCTTTTACAAAACTACCTATTCAGTGAGTGATTTATTTACGTTGTGACGTAGGTGTGCGACCACAAGATGCAAATACGCTACGTTTGCGTGAGTGAGATGAAAACTAGCAGCGCATCAAATTATCGGAGAGGAAATGCAAATATAATACTAGGTTAGAATAATCCATTGTTAAAAAGTACCACCTTATAAGAATGTACTAATTAAGCACATTTTTTGCAAAGGTGACAAAGGATACCCTCTTCAACCGTGGCTCATGACACCGTACAGGGAACCAATCACATGCGACAGAAAAGTAGTAGTAAAATAGTTGTTGAGAAGACAATAGGTTTATTAAAACCAGTATTTCGTTGCCTTTGCAGTGAACGAGGATTACATTACGCACCAGAAAAAGCAGCACGTATTGTTAATTTGTGCTGCGCATTGCATAATATCCGTTTGCATTATAACTCAAATGAAAACATACCTGAGTCATACCTGGATACAAGTGATAATGCACATACCAATGAAGATGACAATGATTTCGATAATGTGCCAACCGAAGAAGCAAATAGAATAAGAATTAGTTTTTTAGATTTATTTTAATATAAGTACATGTGTACATATGTCAAAACAATTTATTTGAAAACAACTAAACTATACAATTCATTAAACAATGGGAAATATTCAGAATAAAAATGAAAACTTAAGGCTGTAACTTAAGTGCTGTAGTTCAAATTCCAAAATTTTCTTTTTAGGTTCTAGTTTATCTATGGCTATTTTTTCCATAACTGCTATATGTCGCCTCACTCCTCGGTTTTATCTTTTTCATTTTCATGGAGTTTCCACCTATTCGTTTCGGACTGTCCTTGGACTTGTTCACTTTGTTGTTTAACAAGCGTGTCTAGTACTTTTGACACATTTTCCTCCATCTTTTTTTGGATTGATATTTGCTCCTCAAGTAGACCCACCTTGTTTGTTTTGTGCTTCTTTTGTGGTATACAGGATACGTCGGTATTTACATTGGTTTGCATTGCCAGGTCTACTTGAAATACACAATCAGGCGTTACATCCGATGAAGATTCTTTTTGAGTTTGTGGCGGAGCATCCAAAATTTCGAATGCCTTTGAACCCCTCAACTGATATATTGAGCGAAAGTATTACACCGACCTCCTCTTCGAGTGGACTTCAAGTTATTTGGCTGAAGGGCCCACCTCCTGTTCCGGAAATTTGCCTTGCATTTTTTACCATTTTCTTTTTGATTCCAAACTTAAGATCAGTCCAAACCTATTAAAAAAATACTTAAATAAACAAATGTAGATATGTCTTGATTTTTCATACCTTCTTCCATCCAGTTTTGTCCTTGATTGGCGGGCCCAGTGCATTTAGTTTCTGTGAAGTATCTTCCCAAAAAGTATTTAGTTCGGCTGGTGCTCTTTGGGAAAATCCTTTAGCTATGTCCGGGTGCAACTTCATCGCGTTCACAAGCACTTCAAATTGATTTTTGTTTGTGTATTTTTGTCTCTTGTCTCTAAAATATGCGTGTAAACACAATTTAGTGCGTCCTCATCAATTGTTTACATAAATACTTACGAAATTTCCATTTCTTCAAATTTCCGTAACCAACTCACCAACTTATAGATATCGAAAAATATTTTCGATTTTACGGTTTCAGTGATTTTGCAATCAACGCCATCTATGAGCCACGGAAAGTATTTTATCGAGTCGGCAAGCGAGTTCAACATCATCGAGAAATCGATTTTCGATACGAGTTCAATGATTTCAACGCAATATTTGGCGATCAATATCGACAAATTTTTCGATTGACACGAGTTCAATGATTAGGCCCAATATAAATAAGATGGAGGAAAACTGGTGCTGCCACTCTATTAATACTGTTAATAATTAAACACGCAAAGTCACGGTCTACCATTACAATTTATTATTCATCCGCTTATCTGTGCACAAAAAGAAGTTAAAAAGAGTTTCCTCGCCTTTTATAGTAAATTTTAGGAATTTAAAGTACCGTACAATGATTTTTCAACGAAACAAACAAATGTAACCACAAAACAGAAATGAATGACAAGAGAGTGAACAGGATTGCCGGACGATTACGAAATAACAGAAAATAAAGTTAACTAAGAGGTTGCAGCTGCAACATCCTGCCCGGTCGAGTCGGTTGACTCGAAATCTTCAGGCTCCAGTAGGAGGCAACGCTTCTGAAAAGCTCGAGTATGCATCCGCCGGAAGTTCTTAATGTGACATTGCGCTCCGTCAGCGCCCGGATGTACTCCCACGACGCGACCCATGCGCCAGTGAGGCAAGTTCTCATGCTTTACGAGTACGATATCGTTGACCTTGATGTTAGTGGTGCGCCGATGCCATTTGTGGCGCCTCTGCAGGGTGGTCAGGTACTCCCCTACTCCACCGCTGCCAAAACACTTGTTGAACCTGCCGTACCCATTGCCATTGTTTCAGTCGGTTGTTGGGAATATGTTGGATGTCTGGCTCAGGGACCGCTATCAGCGGAGCCCCAATCAGGAAATCACCGGGTGACAGCGCGAATTTATCTTCCGGGTCGTCGTACAGTGGCGTAATTGGACGTGAGTTCAGGCATGCTTCGATCCGGGTAGCCAAGGTCTGCAATTGACTATGCCACATGATTTGCGAGCACACACAGCGGACCAAGTGATGCTTTGCCGACTGAACGGCCGCTTCCCACAGCCCACCTTGATTCGGTGCACTAGGTGCCAATTGGTACCCGAGCCCGCTAACAATCGCTGGTTGTTTTCACTAGATCGTCCACGACTTCGATGTGCACGGCTTTGTTGACCATGCATACGAAGATGGCTAGGTACATCTTGATGAACGTGCGTGAGCGCTTCGAGCCGAGCCGCAGTGTAAAAGGGCCACAGTAGTCTACCCCGAACGAAACAAACGGTCTCGCGGGTTTGATCCTCTGCCCGGGTAGCGAAGCTATTTGCTGACTGAACACCTCTCCCTTATGACGGCGGCACACTACGCACATGGGGATAAAACTCTTGACCGCCTGCCTTGCATTCGGGATCCAAAACCGGCGACGGAGGGTATGTAGCATGAGCTGCGTTCCTCCATGTAGCGTTGCCTCATGCGCCTGCACGAAAGGAGCTGACTTCGGCAATTTGATCGGGAATCGCTGGTCATGCACAAGTTCTGCCTTAAGTATTCGCCCTCCGAACCGAAGGATATGGTTCTCATCTAAAAATGGATTCAATGAGAGTATTTTAGTACAGGAGGACAAACCTAAACTGGACTTCAACTGTCGAATGTCAGCAGCAAATTGTTCCCCTTGCTCTAGACGGATTAGCGTGTATAGGGCGTCATCCAGTTCCTGGGCACTGACCACAGGTTGACGAAAGTGTCGACGTCCCTTCAACCAGCGCAGCATGATGGCCGCTGTACCAAGCAGGCGTTGAATTGAACTAAACCGGGTAGTCAACAACATAATATGTCCATCTGAGCGACGGGTATTCAAAGGCTGCGCAAGGAGTACCATTGACTGACATATACTTCGCCTTTCTGCAAGGAGCTCGTCCGACTCGGCCTGGCTAAGAGGGATCTTGGGCTGGTTTGAGGGAGCGCTGCTAGCACACCAGGCCCATGCCACCAAAGCGGGTGAACTAAGAGTTCTTCGGGTGTAATGCCTCTGCTGGCACCATCAGCAGAGTTCTGTGCTGAACGAACGTGGTACCATCTGTCTGGGGATGTCAGTTCCTGTATCCTGCGAACCCGGTTGGATATGAACGGCTTAAGTGTTGTTGGATGCTTCTTCAACCAGCACAAAACGATCGCCGAGTCCGACCACAAATAGTATGGAGCATCCATCAAGCCCAGCGAGTCCGGCACATTTTGAATAGTTTCAGCCAACAGTAGTGCTTCCGACAGTTCCAGGCGGGGTATAGTAGCGCCCTTCAGAGGTGCCACCTTCGTGCGAGCTGTAAGAAGTGAGATGTGCGCAACATCGCCTACGTCAACAGTTTTCGTATATATGACGGCAGCATATGCTTGTGAGCTGGCATCGCAAAAGCCGTGCAACGTTGTCTGAACACGCTGAACCATGCCCATCCAACGGTCGATGCGGATCTTATTGAGCCCCTCTAGCTTGGAGCGGTACTTGAGCCATTCGTTGCAAAGATCGTCAGGTAACGGCGAATCCCAAGATAAACCCGCAGCCCACATCCTCTGGATGAACACCTTCCCAGTTACAGCGACAGGTGATAACAACCCAGCGGGATCAAAGAGACGCGCCACCTCGCTAAGTACTCGTCCCTTCGTGGGAGCCTCGGAGGATTGGGTTAGGTCGACTTGGAAAAATAGCTGATCCGTCACTGCGTCCCATCTTAAGCCTAATAGGGAAGCTTCATTAGATAAATAGCTCATCACCTGGCCATCGTTGGAGTTCCATTTCCTTAGCGTAAATTTTCCCGCGGATAAAATGGTATCTACGTTTTTAGCCAGTTCCACTGCATCGGACGCGCTCTCACAACTGGTGAGGAAATCATCTACGTAAAACGAGGTTAGAATCGCATCTCGGGCGAGGACCACCCGCCGCCTATCCGGAACTGAACCGTAATTATCATAAGCGCATTGCCGCAACGTGCGCACTGCGTTATATGGACTGCATGCCATGCCATATGTAATGGTCTTCAATCGATATACGCGAATATCGTCGGCCGGGGACTCGCGCCAAATAATCCTCTGATAGTCTCGATGCTCCGGCGCAACCAACACTTGCCTGAATATTTTCTCGATGTCGGCCGTTATCGCCACTCGAAAACGTCGGAAGCGATGAAGTATGCTACCAAGCGAGTCCGGAAGCGATGGGCCCACCAGTTGAATATCGTTTAGGGAGGCTCCCGTGCTGGTCGGCACCGAAGCATTGAACACCACGCGGAATTTGCAGGTAACCGCATGATGAGGAATATAATAGCAATTGTTATGGTGATACGGTGGTTCGACTAGCTCCATATGTCTGAGAGTTGCGTACTCCCGCATGAATGCCACATAGTTTTCTCTGATGGCGGGATCTACTACCAAGCGACACTCAAGTCTACTAAATTGGCGCGCAGCAAGTGCATACGAGTCACCAAGTTTTGGTGCATTTTGTCGCAGAGGTAGCCGCACAATGAACCGGCCGTCTGCAGTGCGGCCATGAGTAGCTTCGAAGATCTGGGCACAGTCGTCAACGTGTTGATTGTCGGCCGCCGCAATTTCATCCATCTCCCAAAACCTGTGGAGCAGTTCTTCTAGACGGACGTCGTCTTCACCCGGTAACGCGCTGAGTGCGAGCGATGATACGTTCGAAGTAAAAGACACTACTGCCGGACCAAACACTATCCAACCAAAGCGGGTACGCTGGGCGAAAGGTTCGTCTGGTCGTCCACCGATGACTTCACCTTCTAAGACTCGCCCCCACACGTCCGCGCCAATGAGAACGTCGATAATGCCACGCGTACCAAACCGATCGTCCGCCAACTGAAGCCCTCTCAAGTACGGCCACTGGTTCACGTCAATATTCATCGCCGGAGTCTGAGAAGTAATGGACGGTAAAATCAAGGCCTCAATTTGCATCTCAAATCCAGTTCTCGTTGACCTCAAAGTGATTGTAACGCTGCCCTTCACCTTTGTATTTACGGCAGGCCCTACCCCTTCTACCAGCAGGTCACATTTCCGTCGGTATAACTGCAAGGAGTTTTCTAGGCGATCCGTCACGAAGGTAACCTGCGATCCAGGATCGCATAGGATACGAGCCACACGCTGAACCGATGCTTCTCCAAAGGCATATGCACACGATGTTGCTAGGAGGGTGATCGGCTGATATCTGTCAGCGTGGGCTCTCGCAGCTGCTGCTAGTCATGCAGCTGAAGTTGTTGGCGCCTTACCAGCTATGTTGACGAACCTCTCGCGGCATAAGATAGTATTGTGCTTACCGCCACAATTCCGACAACTTCCCGATGCACACTGTCTGGACGAATGGCCAGCACGTAGGCAGTTATAACACAACCTAAACTCTTAACTGCTTCATAACGTTGTTCGATGTTCATGGCTGACAGCGCTGAATACTTAGAAATTCGATGCGGAGCACCACAATGCGCACACTGTGCCCGCTAGCCACATTCGCCTTCACCGATCGTTGCTGCCGAGAAGACACTAGAATGGCCGATGGTTCAGGCGATAGACTATGAGCACGCCTTTCCAAAAACCTCAGCAAATCACCCAGCAGTGGAATATCGGTGGTGGTACTTTTCATGCACCAGTCGCGCTTGGTTACAGCCGGAAGGTTGGACCCAGCTAATGCATCCCATTGACTTACAGGGACCTCCATAACCCGCAATGCTCGCAGCGACTCTTGCACTGTGTCAACAGTGGCCAGCAATGCTTGTGATGACTTCTGGGTAGCTACTTGTAGGTTGAGAAAGCGCGACACGTGTATTTCTGCCAACTGTTTCTTATTGTCGTAACGCTCTTTAAAGCCTTCCATACTTCTTGATAGCCACCCCAGTATATCCCTCCAATTAATGGCACTATGGAGGCGTTAACTGCTTGGCGAAGTTTACCCAACTTGAATGCTTCCGGGTACGCAGAGTTATGGACGAGCGTTTCAAACGCATCCTTGAACGCCAACCACTTGCACATATCCCCGTCAAATGAGGGAATAGCCAGCGGGTCAAGTTTAAGATCTACTGAACAGCCATCCAAAGTCGTGGTAGGATCGTTGCGCGCTCCTTCACTGGCGTTGGAATCTCCCGTTGACGTCGCAATAAGGCGGTTGAGTGTGCTACATGCCTCCCCGTAAAGCTTCTCCACACTTTCCCATAGCGAATCATGCGTAACCATTTCTGAGGGTGCAGCTTCTCCCACAAGATGGTTATAGTTATCAACGAATCGCCCAAAATGTGTCTCCATCGACTTCAGCTCTTGTTGAAGTTAGAATACATCCCGACCATCATCGCCACAATCTATTACATATATGCGTTTTATTGCTTTCACAGCAGATGCGCGCAAGTTAAGTTCCGCCATGCCTCAAAAATACAATAAAATTGTACTTTAAAAACTAAAACCTCCCTATTATAATTGCCATTCGTACTGTAATCAGGTATGTAACTTGAGAATAGAAAACGCTGCATCTTTTAGGCGCATCAATATTACATAGTGACATCCCGAGCTAATAAAAGGAAGGTAAAAAAAACATTAGTTGTCCTCACAGGAGGCACCAAAATATTAAAAATTAAACACGCAAAGTCACGATTTACCAATACAATTTATTATTCATCCGCTTATCTATGCACAAGGAGAAGTTAAAAAGAGTTTCCTCGCCTTTTATAGTAAACTTTAGGAATTTAAAGTACCGTGCAATGATTTTTCAACGTAACAAACAAATGTAACCACAAAACAGAAATGAATGACAAGAGAGTGAACAGGATTGCCAGACGATTAAAAAATAACAGCAAACAAAGTTAACTAAGAGGTTGCAGCTTCAACAAATACAATTTGTATTTCAACTTTAAAACACTCAAATAATGCACAAGAAATATACTTTTGTGAAAAGGGGATTTCGGTTCCTTTTCTTCGCACGCAGAAAGGTGTTTTCTGCAAAAGGTGTTCTGCCTCTTTCTTTGGCAACACAGAAAGGAGAATTCTCCGTTGTGCGGGTTATAATCCCTTAGCGCGGCCGAAGGCCGCCTACGCAAAAAGATGTTCTCTGCAAAAGGTGTTCCCCCCCCCTTTTCTTTGGCAACACAGAAAGGAGAATTCTACGTTGTGAAAGTAATAAACCGTATGCGCGGCCGAAGGCCACCTACGCAGAAAGGTGTTCTCTGCAAAAGGTGTTCAGCCCCTTTTATTTGGCAACACAGAAAGAAGAATTCTACGAATTGAAGGTTATAAACCCTATGCGCGGCCGAAGGCCGCCTACGTAAAAAGGTGTTATCTGCAAAAGGTGTTCTGCCCCTTTTCTTTGGCAACACAGAAAGGAGAATTCAACGTAGTGAGGGTTATAATCCCTAAGCGCGCCGAAGGCCGCCTACGCAAAAAGATGTTCTCTGCAAAAGGTGTCCCCCCCCCCTTTTCTTTGGCAACACAGAAAGGAGAATTCTACGTTGTGAAAGTAATAAACCGTATGCGCGGCCGAAGGCCACCTACGCAGAAAGGTGTTCTCTGCAAAAGGTGTTCAGCCCCTTTTATTTGGCAACACAGAAAGAAGAATTCTACGAATTGAAGGTTATAATCCCTATGCGCGGCCGAAGGCCGCCTACGTAAAAAGGTGTTATCTGCAAAAGGTGTTCTGCCCCTTTTCTTTGGCAACACAGAAAGGAGAATTCAACGTAGTGAGGGTTATAATCCCTAAGCGCGCCGAAGGCCGCCTACGCAAAAAGATGTTCTCTGCAAAAGGTGTTCCCCCCCCCCTTTTCTTTGGCAACACAGAAAGGAGAATTCAACGTAGTGAGGGTTATAATCCCTAAGCGCGCCGAAGGCCGCCTACGCAAAAAGATGTTCTCTGCAAAAGGTGTTCCCCCCCCCCTTTTCTTTGGCAACACAGAAAGGAGAATTCAACGTAGTGAGGGTTATAATCCCTAAGCGCGGCCGAAGGCCGCCTACGCAAAAAGCAGTTAGACGCACAAAAACTTTTTTAATGGAGTGGCAGCAGCAATTTACCTCCATTTTATTTTTAATAGAGTGGCAACACTAGTTTTCCTTCATCTCTTTTATAATAACTTCACGAGATTGTTGTGCGGATTTTCAACATTGCAATATTCCAATTTAATACAGAATTTCGTAAAAATTTACACTTAAGATATCACAATTGTATAAAAACTAATGAATACGTGTTCAGTTGAATTCATTTACTCCATTTATTTGCGTCAAATTCATCAAAACATAGTGCGAAAAGTGCAAGTGTTTTTTGCGAATAACTCTTTAATGAATTAAAAATGTGAATTTCCGGATTATTATTGTTCTTATTAAAACGCGTCGATTGAATTTTGTTCATCAATTATGGCCTGGTACCGCTAAAGTGCACTTTTACCCTCTTACTCTCAATATGCGCACATCGGCTCTGCCTTCACTCTCGGGGCTTAAAATCTTTCAAAACAAATTGAACAAATTTTAATTAACATTGGAAATTTTAAAATAATTGTGGAATGCATTATCTGTAAAATGTACGTACAAAAATCTGTAAAATGTGCGTCATAATAAGCATAATCAGCACAAAAATTNAATTAAAAATGTGAATTTCCGGATTATTATTGTTCTTATTAAAACGCGTCGATTGATACCCCTCTTGAATTTTGTTCATCAATTATGGCCTGGTACCGCTAAAGTGCACTTTTACCCTCTTACTCTCAATATGCGCACATCGGCTCTGCCTTCACTCTCGGGGCTTAAAATCTTTCAAAACAAATTGAACAAATTTTAATTAACATTGGAAATTTTAAAATAATTGTGGAATGCATTATCTGTAAAATGTACGTACAAAAATCTGTAAAATGTGCGTCATAATAAGCATAATCAGCACAAAANAAAAAAATGGTTACAGCCAAAATTTTAGCATAAGTGTAGAATATGAACCATTTCGCCACCCAAAAACCAAAAGTGTGGCGCTGATTTCAACTTTACGAAAATTATTTGGCGCAAAAATAAAAAAGTTAGATATAAAAGGTTAAATTAGATTTTTTGAAATATTAATATCTTATGAACTACATAACCGATTCAAAAACTAACGATGTAAAAATAAGGACAGTTAATTTAGCTTTCGAGCCGAAGGTGGTAACACTAGTGCTCCATCTGAATGTAAAGCAGTGGATCGTCACTTCTTTTCATATATATAATAATAATAATTTAGCTTTCTGTTGGTGTCCATAATTTTAATGATTTATTTTATTTTTAATCCAAAAATACAGAAAAACGAAAGGAAATTACGTATTTTTTCATAAAATAACTTTTTTTTAACAAAATTCATGATTAATGCA